AGGAAGCCGAGGAAGTGCCGAGACTGGCAGAGAGCAGCCTGAGGGGATGTGAAGTGTCAGGCCCCTGGAGTCTCCAGGGCAGGCAGGAAGTGCTGGGGATGGGGACGGGTGTGTGTGGGGGGGGGTACGTCAGAGCCCCCATCCCCAGCCGTGTTGAGAGTTGTGCATGACTCTGAGCATATTGGCCCACCCTGTGCCATGAAGGGCTGCATAGAACGGGCTCAGCCTAGGAAAACGTGGCTCCACCAAGGAAGCCGCGCTGGCCCTGGGAAGGGCCGGCTTCTTCCGACTGTCCTTCTCCTCAGTCTGAGCAGAGCTCACGCCCCCCCCCCCACTCCTGTGGGCTCAGGAATGTCTATAAAAAGCCTCTCCTGGTGTTGGGGGCTGAGGCGGTGGGGACCGGCCGGGCATCTTTCCCTCTGGGCCCCGAACAGGGAACGGGGTGGGTCTGGGTCCAGCCTCTGGTCTCTTGGCCATTCTGGGATGCTGATGTCCTTCCTTTCCTCTGGCCAGCATGATGATGGACCCACCCTCTCTTGGGCAGGAAACAGGGACCCTGGGAGGGGGTGTCTGCCCCCAACTTCCTGCATCCCAGCCCTCAGGTGTCTGCGGTAACGGCTTTGCCTCCCACCGTCCCCACCCTGGTCCCCAGCCCTGGTCCCCACCCCCCGCTGTGACTGGAGAAAAGGGCTCTGGCTGGAGGTGCCCATGGGCGCACCCCACCCTTTCCCGTCAGTTGCCCTGTTGGGGTTCAGCCAAGGGGCCTCTGACGGCCTTGCCTCAGAGAGGGACAGACCTGGACAGGAGTGGAGAGAAGTGACCGCCCAGGGTCCACACGCTGGTCTCCAGAGGCTTCCCCAGAGAGAGGCACAGGCCGGCCCAAGGGAGTCGCCTGGAGCTCCACACGTTGCCTTTCTTGCCACCGGGCTGCATCTATAGTGGATCTCGCTCTCCCAGACCGGAAGAATCCCATTTGTCAGCAGTTTGCAACATTGCCAAATAAAGGCTTCTTGGCCAAAGGCAGCCATGCTCTGATGATGACCGGACCTTGGCCAGCACCCCCCGCGGTGCTGCATTCGTGCCAGGGATCTGCGGAGAGCACAGAGAGAGACAATGCTGGCTTTCAGCTCTCCAGATGCTTTGTCTTCCAATAAAAGTCCAAATTAATGTTTTAAAAGGTTATTGCTAATTTTTTCCCCGTTTAGCCGGCATCCTTTATGAGTCTCATGTGGACAGACCCTGGCATTGCCGCAGTTTCCTTTTCGCACAAAGCTAGTGTTGGGTCATCAGCTCCTGGTTCTCATCACACAAACCTGAGATTCCCTGGAATTAACATGGGGGAATGTTGTTTGCTCTGCAGAAACCTACTGTTTCGGACGTTCTGCTGGCCGGAGAGAAAGGGATTTCCAGCCTAGAAAGAGGGAGCCAGGGAGTTCCCACGGCTGCCCTGGCTGGTGAGGGCCCCAAAGCATCTGCAGCAAGTGGGGATCAGGCCCGAGGGCCCCCCACACCCCCAGGTGCACCATAGAAGGCTGTGGGATCCAGCAACTTGGGGTAGTGCCCGGAAGTCACAGAGTCCAGGCCTCCAGCAGACACGCCTTCTCCTGGGCATTGGCCCGATGTTGCTCTTCACTGCCCCATGGACCACGGTGGCCACTGTCTCTCCGGGCAGGGGCACAGGGTGGTGCACGTCTGTCCACAGCTCCCCTGCTCATAGTCAGGGCTAAACCCCATCCCTCTGTGGTCTCAGTAATGGCTGCAGCCCACTGCAGTCAGGGGGCGGGGGAGCCTCGATGCTGGTGTCCTTTGAGGAAACATTTTCGCTGCTGACCAGCATGGGTGAGTCGACCAAGGAGGGACCTGGATGGCCCCCAAATGCAAACCAGCCTGTGCTCTGGGAGACCTGAGGCCCCAGCATGGCCTCATGTGGCTCCTGTGTCCACAGGCTGAGTGCAGGAGCTGCAGGGTGGCGGGTGACCAGCTAGCAGATTGACTGATAGAACCGGAGAGCATGGGCAGAGGTGCAGGAGCATCCCCTTTGTGGCCTGAGGGCCGTGGCCGACTGGGCAGGGCTGTACTGATATTTAGTGACGTGTTCCCAGCATTGAAGTCTCTCCTGGGGAAACACCTAGTGCCTTCCCGGCAGCTCGGGACCCTCTGGGCGCCGTTTGAGATGGACCCACCCGCGCCGCCAGCTCCCAGGACCCCGAGGTCCCTCCCTCTCTGTGCGGCCTCTGGACTGCGGCCATGCACCACCTCCCACCTCCCAAGGGGATGGGGGCCGTGAAGTCAGAGCCCATTAGTAGCCATCAGGAGTGCTGGGAGAGAGTTCTCATCAATTTCCTGCATCGCCTGGTGGAATGTAAGGAAAAGGGAAGTGGCTTTGCTCCCTCTGGGACTGCCAGATGAATAACTGCCATGGCCACAGGCCTGAGAATCCAACGAGTGGCCAGGAGGTGGCCCTCGGGGGACACTGGCAGGGGGCACGGGGCAGAGGGGGCCACGGCAGGGGGGAATTGGCACCTTCTCTCTTGCATTCCACTCTGCTTCCCTTCCTGGTTTCATGGCTGCCATGCCCCGGTCACCCCTTTCCCTGGATCCCGCTACCCCCAGTCTCTGTTCTGCCTCTGTGAAGCCGCGGGGCCAGGCTTTGTCCCATCTAACTGGAACCTGGTGGTGGGCTGTGCCTGCAGATATGTGCCTGTGCGCCCTCTCTGCCACATCGTCTGAGCGTGCATGGACGCCATTAGGTTTTGGGGGGTCGGGAGGGGGGTACTTGCTGATCTCGACTCCTGCTGGTCCTCACTGTTCCACGGGGGCTGGACCCTCCTTGAGTCGCACGGGGGGAGAGGGCATGGGGGAGGCGTGGGAGACTGTGGGATGTACCCACAGGCCCCCTCCCCACCCCAGCAGCGTCTCTGAGTCCTGCCAACTGCGGGCAGAGGCTCTGCACCCCTCTCCGCTGTGGGGCCTCACCGTGCTGTGCCAGTGACCTACTTCCATTCCACCCCCGAGGTAGGAGTAAGTCCTGAGAACCGCTGTGGGTGGCCCCCAAGAAAAGAAAAGGTGCTGTGGGCTCCAGGCCTCTCGCTCCCCGGGTTCTCACTGGCCTGCTCCCAGGTGCTTGGCGGTTTGTAGCTCTTAGAGCTGTGATGCTCCACCCTTCCCAGCCTTGTCCTCATGCTGACTGCTAAAACGTTGCCCCTTCCTGTCCCCCATTGGCCCACTGGGGCCCTTTGCTTCTTCCGTATCTGTTTCTCTAAGGGCGGAAATGGAGATGTTGTACCTATCTCCCTGATGGGCACCAGAAGCGTTGTGCTAGAGACTTGATGTCCCTTCTGGCCCAGGAGGGCTGATGCTGTACACTAAACATTTCTGACCCCAGACACCGGCCCACCTGGAACTGGGAAGGCCTCGTTGTTGTCAGTGGGAGATTATGGGTTTGACTTCACAGAAGTTTCTGGAGGGCTTGGGGCCACACCCAGCCAGTGCTCAGGCTGACTTCAGGCTCTGTGTTCGGCCTCATTCCTGGTGGGGTGCAGGGGACTGAACTTGGTCATCTGCACACACGGCAGGTGCCTTCAGCATTCTGGTGGCTGCTCTGGGTCCTCTGTGTGTTGGGCACCGAGGGCTTCCCTGTCCTCCCTGGCCAGCGGGACCTGGGCTGGAGAGTTTGGGACATTTAGCCCCTTCCGTGCAGGGGAGACCCTGGGGCAGCTTCCATGTCCTTGTTTGTGACACTCAGGCGCTGAATCAGTACTGTGGGGTGCAGTTCTGGGAGGCGAGACCAAGAGGCCACAGCAGTGGTGGCAGCTGGAGCAGGGCTGCGTCACCAGGAAGCCCGGATGGCAGTGTCGAGGGCCAGGGTGGGCTCACCCACTGTTCCACGGGGGCTGAACCCTCCTTGAGTCGCACGGGGGGAGAGGGCATGGGGGAGGCGTGGGAGACTGTGGGACGCACCCACAGGCCCCCTCCCCACCCCAACAGCGTCTCTGAGTCCTGCCAACTGCAGGCAGAGGCTCTACACCCCTCTCCGCTGTGGGGCCTCACCGTGCCGTGCCAGTGACCTACTTCCATTCCACCCCCGAGGTAGGAGTAAGTCCTGAGAACCGCTGTGGGTGGCCCCCAAGAAAAGAAAACAAAAATTCAAACTGAAAACGAGCCCAGGAAGCACACAGGGAGCTTCTCTGTGGCTCAAGACCCACCAGTAAAATTAGACATAAACCCCCGACACCTCCCAGCCGATGTGCTGACGGAACTCCCCCTGCAGTGCTCTCACCCTCAGCAGAACAGTGAGAGGTTGGCGGGGGTGAGTTTTCTCTCGAGGCGGGGGGACAGGTCTCTCTTCACTGAGCAAATGTGGACCGGTCAGCTGAGCAAGACAGCCACGGCAGATGGGCCCCTTGCTTGCCTCCAGGCCCCCGGGAAGGTTGTTCTTTGTAATCGCCCCTGGCTGTGCGTCTCCCAACTCATCTGTCTGTCTGTCTGAGCTGTGAGCAACTTTGTGAGGCTGGGTCGGTCAAGAGGGCAGCAGATACTGGTGGCCACTAACGAGGGTCTGCCCGAGCCCAACCCTCCCAGCGAGAACGTCCAGGCCCCTCTGCTGGCCTGTCTCCTTCTCCCTTCCCCAGACGAACACGCCTGTAGGCAGGGTCCGGCCTCAGAGCCTGCCTGACAGGCCTGAGCCCTCAGGCTGGAGAACGAGCATCTCCTGCCTCCAGTGCCCCCAGCACGGCCCCCTCCCCTGGCCCCGCAGAGCTGGGGTGACAGCTCCAGACCACTTGCCCTGCTTGGCTGTGCCCGTGTCCCAGTGCATGCAGAGGCCTGTGACAGCCTGGCCCTGCTGTGCCACACATGGCAGGCAGTGAGCAGCCCCTGAGCATGGCAGATGTGGCTCCATCCCTACCGTGTGCTGGCAAGGGCCCCTCTTCGGAGCCAGCAGCTCCTACTTCTTCACAGCTCGGAGTGGGGAGGGGGGTAAAGGGGGAGCAGGGTCTACCATGCGCCTGAGCGTCACTGTGAACCCCTTGGGTGCAGGGACACCTCCCATGGTATGTTTGTGGTGTCCGGGGACTATTGGGGCTGCGCTGAGCTGGACTCACCTTAACCCCTACCCCTGTCTTCCAGCTCCAGGGACCCCTGAAGAGAAAACAGCCCCCTCCCCCGGACCCCACCCACGGCAGCAGGCCCAACGGCTTCCTTGACAGCAACTTCCTGGATATCAAGAGGATCTGCGTCGGGGAGACCCCAGGGCCGGGCCAGGGACCCCTCCAGGCCAACAGTGGACAGAGCCCGATGGCGCCAGGGGCCCTGCCCCTCAGCCAGGTGCCTGCCCGGAACCCCGCGGCCCCGCTGACTGTCCCACCACCCACCGAGGCCCTGTCCAGCCTGGGCTTGAAGCCAGTGAAGAAGGAGCCGGGGGAGACCGTGTCCTGCAGCCGGCAGCTGGATGGCACCTTTGGCCAGCGGCTGGGCGAGGAGCCGGCCGAGCTGGACCCCGAGCTCCAGGAGCTGTTCAATGAGCTGTCTAGCATCTCCGTGCCTCCCCTGAGTGACCTGGAACTGGACAACATGATCAGCGCCACCATCAAGCAGGGCGACCCCTTCAGCCTGGACCTGAGCCAGCCGCCGAGCCAGAGTAGCCCTCCTGGGCCCACCCTGGCCCCGGACAAGCCCCTGGTCAAGAGCGAGTACTCCCCAGGCCGGGGCCCAGCCGCCTCCGCCTCCCCGCAGCTTCGGCCCCCTTCGGCCAGCCCCGCCTTCTCTGTGGCTGCGCCCGCCCTCCCTGTCTCCTCCCCCTTGTCCTCTGTCCCTCAGGGCCAGCCCCAGCCTGTCCCGGGCGCTGGCCGGGTCCTGCCCAGCTGGCAGGAGGTGTCCCATGCCCAGCAGCTGAAGCAGATCGCAGCCAACCGCCAGCACCATGGCCACCTGCCACCGCCACCACAGCCCACAGCCTGGCCAGGTGCCACGGCCCCCGCATTCTCACAGGAGAAGACCCCCAGCCCCTCTTTCACCCAGCAGTCGTTCGTCCCCCAGAGCTCCTCCATGACCGGGGGCACTGGGAGCAGTGGCCAGTCCAAAGCTCTGGGCAACTACGTGCTGAAGGCCGGCACCCCGCCGTCCACACGTCAGGAGCCTCCGAGGGGCCTTGCGGGCAGTGCCCACAGTGGTACCAAGCTCCTGTTCCACTTCGGCCCAGAGCCCGGCGGCCAGCAGCCGCTGCCTGCTCTGGCATCCTCCGGACAGCCTCACCTGCCACAGTACACCGCACCTCCGCCCACCCAGCCCACCCAGCTGCCCGCCGGCCAGTCCCTGCTGAGGTCAGCGCTGCCCACTCAGCAGAAGACCCTGCTGCAGAAGATGCAGGGCCCAGCCCTCGCTGGACTGGGCTACCAGCTGTCCCCCCAGCACCGGCAGGTAAGAGTTCATGCACCCTGCCCACATGCCCGGAAGCTTTCACGTGCTGGTCGTGCTCTGCTCTGCGGTCTGTGCCTGTCCCTGCTGCGGGGCAGTTCCGGAAGCCCCTGCAGCGTGAGGGACCCGGGGCATCCGCTGCTTACTCCTCGGGCGCCCACATGTTCGCCCTTTGCACCATGGGTGCCGGCACTCCATGCTCCTATCAGTGCCAGGGAAGGGCTATAGGGGCCTGGGGCTGGCCAGCTGACGTTCGAGGACACGGGAAAGGCTCCGGGTTACTGGGTGAAGGGCCCGTGAAAGGGTCCCAGTGAACAACAAGGAGAGAAGTGCGTGAGCAGCGCCCAGTCTGTCCTGGTACGCACAGGACTCGCAGTGCCCACCAGAAAATACTGGAGGAGTTCTGGGTGCCAGAGTACTGGTGTGAGGAAGTGAAAGAGAAAGTTTCCAGGAAGGGGATGGGAGGGAAGACGGAGGGAGAAAGAGCAAGGAGGAGGGAATGAGGGAGGGGGAAGGAAGAGGGAGAGCTGAGGGAGGGAGGAGGAAGGAGGGAGAGTGGGGGCAGGGAGGAGGGAGAGCAGAGGGGAGGGAGGAGGGAGGAGGGAGAGCAGGGGGACGGAGACCATCTGAATGTGACTCAGCACTTAGCCTGCATTCGTGTCCAGGCACAGACACAGAGGTTGTGGGTCACAGTGGGACTCCAGGATGAACACCCGGGCTCATTGCAATCACGTTCCCGGAGTGGTTCTAGTCAGCTGCCCAGAAGAGAGCACTGTAGGCTGGGCAGGGGAGAGGGAACCAGAGGAGACGTGGCCTGGGCGTGGCAGTCCTGAGGCACAGCGGAGGGTGGGCGGGGAGTGGGCTGTGTACACGGCAGCACTGTGGTGCTGTGGCAGCTGGGAGCGTTGAGGACCACCTCAGTGTCTGGGCAGGGGCAGGCGGCCCCGACCTCACTGAGAACCAGAGAGTCTCTGCCAAGTTCAGATGCCAATGCCCTGGGACACTGCTGTTTCCGACCCCACGTTCCTGTGCGAATGTGTGTGTGAGTGAGTGCGTTCATGTATGTCTGCCCTGCCTGTGTGCACATCTGTGTGCATGTGTGTGCACGTCTCTGTGTGTGCTCATGTGTACACGTCTGTGTGCCTGTGTGTGCATGTGCTTCTGTGTGTGCACATGTCTCTGTGTGCATGCCTGTGTGCACATATGTGTGTACATGGTGCACGTGTCTGTGGAGACTCCAGCCCACTGCCCCCACCCATCCTCGTGAGCACAGGAGGGGCCTGGTCACGAACTCCCCCAGCTGAGGGATGGCAGCATCTGGTCTGGAGGTGCCGGTGGCCGCCCTTCTGAACACTGGATGTGAGTGTCCTGGAAGCAGGACTGGGTCTTCTGCCCTGTGTGGCCTCAGGAGCTGCAGTGGCCGCAGATGCCATCTGCTGGACAGTCCCGGGACTGCAGCCATGACTGGTTAGTCGCAGCCCATCTGGGCAGTGCTGACCCAGCGTCCATTGGGCCGATTCTCAGACCCACTTGAGACAGGCTGGGCTCACTGGGGAGCAGCGCCTGGTGCACTGGAACGAGCCCTCTGGCCGCCTGGCAGGAGCATGGCTGACTGTTCACTTCATCAGGGATCAGGCAGGGCCAGGGGCGGGGCACCTTTTTTGTCTGCGGGGTCGTGCTGGCCCCCGGCCGGGCTCCTGCCCCTGCCCATCCCAGCCGGCCAGAGGTCAGCTTTGCCATGGGCACTGTTGCCTGGGAACGGAGTGGACACATACCATCTTTATCCGTCTCCAGGGAAACCAAGCAGAAGTTAACTAAAGGTCAGATTCTCAAGCGGGGGAAGGAGCTTTTGTTGACTCTTTGCCCACGGCCTGGAAGCATCACTGGGAGCTGGTCTGAGCGCCTGCCCCGTCCCCTCCCGTCCCCCCAGCTCTGACATGGATACCCCCCACCCACCTCCTTCCTGCACTCCAGCACGCTTGGGGACCCGCTGCCTCTCGGCACCTCTGTGCTCACCATCAGCCCAAGGGGGCCTGGGGGACCCCTTCAGAACTGGCGTCTCTGCCATGGTGTCTCCTGCTAATCACGCAGGCCCGCAGAGGTCTGTACAGCCTTTCGTGGTTGCTGTGAGGCTGAGGTGAGGCCTCAGGTAAAGAGTTTGGGCCCAGGGACACAGGCTGTGGCAGGGCTGGTGTTGGGAGTCAGCAGATTCCGAGCCCAGGACCAAGCTGGGGGTTCGGGCCTCTCCGAAAGCGTGGGCGCAGATGGCCAGGCCCTAGCGGCTTTCCTGCAGGGGTGAGTGGGTGTGGGTGCCTTCCTGATACACCCTGTTCCCCATCAGCATCACTGATGGTACAGAGAGAAGCTCGGCGCCGCCAGGGGCTGCTGCACTGTACGTGGGGCCCACTTGGGCCCGTCTCTGTGGCTGTGCCTTATGAATTATGCACCGTGTCCATTAACCAATCTATACGTGCGGCAGGAAGAGACTTGCAGATGCTTTTAGAGGGGCTCGTGCCGCCTTTTGTCAGGAGAAAGGGCGTGTGGTTGGAGGAGGGTCGGCAGGATGTGCGGAGAAGGAAGGTGTCTGAGTTCCTGAGTTTCTCATCGTTGCCTCGATGTGCAGCATTTGCATGGACACTGGCATGTGGCTCCCTGTACCTAGGGGCCTTCCTGTTTCTGCGTCATTGTTTCCCCCAGGAGCACTGAGTTCTGCGTTTGCTGTGCTGCTACAGGGCGCAGGCTATACCCCAACAGGGCAAGAGGGTGCCGGACTCAGTGAGGGAGAGAGTGGAGGGCTCCTGTGGACAGTGTCCCCAAGTGCTGCTGGAAGCCCAGGGCCACTCCCCCAGTTATGCCAGGGCCCATGCGTATGGGGCTCAGACTTGAGGCTCTGTTAGGCTAGACCTGCCCCTGGGCACTAGAGCCCCCAACTGCTCCCCAGGGAATCCCCATGGAAGGAGCCAGAACCGGCCGTGCTCCGAGTAGGCTGGGAGGAGCTGAGATGGAGGATGAAATTATGTCACACTGGTCCCTTCTCTGTCTTACCTGCCCTCATGCACCCCACCTTCCTTAGTCAGCACACGCCCCTCCCCCCACACCCGATCCACCAAGACCCCCAGTCTCCTCCCCGCTGCAACCAGCATCTAACCCACCCATTGTCCTCCAGCACCCTCTGTTCACTGGCACCCAGCATCCCCCAGCACCCACTGTCCCCCAGCACCCACCCTCCCCCCCCCCACACCTCTGTCAGTAGAGACCAGTCCTGGACTGCTCCTACTTCTCCATCAGCTGCTGCTACCAACCAGCCTAGAGCTTTGGGGATCGAGGCACCCCTGGGCCCAGAAGCCCTCCAGCTCCAGGCAGCCCCCAGCCTCACCTCCCCGCCAGTTCCGAGAGGCCTCCATGATGCAGGCGGCCCTAGAAACCCCCAGACCCAGCGTCTAGCGGAGCACAGGAAGGGCCTAGTGGAGCTTATCTCCGCCCTCTTCTCCAAGGCGTGCTCCTGATGGCTGCCGGGCTTTCCCAGAACTTGATGTGGGCCCGCAGCTCCTGCCCTCTGTCTGTGAGATCCAGACCGGCTGGGGTCCTCGTCTCTGCCTGACTCAGGCTCCCCCGTTTTATGGACGCGGGCTCCAGACACTGCTACTGCTGCCTCCACTCTCCTGAATCCGCCAGCCAGGCCTTCACAGCGCACCCGGCCCCACCGCTGTCATTGGGCAGGACTTGAGGGGTTTCTGGATCTTTCTTAATGTCTCTCCTTGTCCTTTTGCATCAAAGGGGAAAAAAGGTTCATAGTAAGTTGGTGCAATGACTTTTTCCTTGGTGGCCAGAGGCGTGCTGGGCCCTTACTGGAATGACGTTTAACTAACTATATGGTTTAATGGTTAACAAGTCATACAAAACTCTTAAACCAGAAGAAATTGTGCATGTGCATACACACACACACACACACACACACACACACACACGCAGACACACGTTTTCTTTTTCACCCCCACCTCCGCCCCAGAACAAAGCTTGGGTGAGCCCTGCCAGAGACCCCTCAACCTCATAATGCATGATCCGGTGTGAGAGCACTCACCTCCCCTGGATTCGACCCTTGGCGCTGTTTGAAAAACAAGCATTTATTTGGGGCAAGGATGTGGCTCGGTGTGAAAGTGTGTATCTACATGCAGAGGGTATAGCACCTCAAAAAATGGAGCATATCCACAAATAAATAAGTCCTGTATGTTTGTGTCCTTCAGTACAATGCAAAGATAGGACACACCGTCTCAGTATCTCTGTTGGACTTCGTGCCAAGCTATACTGACCCAGCTACTCTGCATTCTCTGCTGGGATGGAGCAATCTAAACAGTTGTGAACTCCAGAGGGTGCTAAAAACCCTTGTATGTAAAAACAAAAATTGTCTTAAAAAGTGGTTGACATCTCAAAGAGTATAAATTGTCGACTCTGACTTCTAATTCTAAACAGAACTGTGAGGTTAGATGTCTGGGTGTGCACAATCTCCCTGTTCTTACTGAGGAAAGAGGTAGAAGCTTCCTCCTCACTCCTAGCTGTGGAGCATCAGCGGCTGACTGGATAGCGTGGCCAGGCAGGTGATTGGACCGAGGAAGCCGGCTTTCCTGTCCCCTCTGTGGGAGATGCCTCATTGAAGGCTATCATTTTCCTCAAACATTACGGCACATCAAAATGTGTTTGTAGAGTTTGCATAAATAAATGTGGTAAAGGCTCTCCCGTTGATCGTCGATTTGCTCGAGCAGGCCCAGTAACGTCTCCATTGGAGACTTTGTTGTTACTGTGTCTGGCATATCGAATACTCTCGGTAGCTTGCCGGGCTCTCCGAGAGGGGCGGAGGAATCGAACTTGGGTCGGCCATGTTGGCCGCTTGTAAGGCGAACACCCTACCCGCTGTGCTATCACCTGATTTTCTGGGACTTGAACCCAGCCCAGCCTCAGGGAGAGCCTCTCACCGTAATGCTTAGGAAGGACTCTGCTGCTCTGAGGTACCACTGAAGAATGCAGAGGCTGCTCTGCTAATCCCCAGACTCAGGGAGCACTGGCGGCTCCTTGGCATTCAGGAGCAGCTCTGTCTTCCTCAGCGACGTGCTTGGCCTGCTGGAGACACCAGCCATAGTTCCCGGCTGTCCTGAGAGGGCAGGAATCTGTGGGTTCTACTTTCCTGAGAGGAGATATGGCCTTTCACTGGGTGCCCAGGCCAAGGCAAATGTCCAAGTGTCTCCTCTGCCAGTGCCTGACCCTCTGCCTTGTGGGACCCTGTCACCATGGAGCCCATCCAGCTCCATCCATGGAGCCCTCCCGCCACCAAGTGGCCTCTGTCCCAGTATAGTGCACACTCTGGCTGCCCTCAGTAGACACTTAGCACACGCGCCTGAGCCTCTCCCCACCTTCTGTTGAAACTGTTCCTGCCCCTGAGGGCCGTAATTGGCACCTTATTCATTCGTATATTTTCTCAGGTGCCTTGACTTGAAGTACTCCTCACAGTATGTTCCAGGCAGACTATTCCAACTTCACATGCTTCACCAGGTCTGTTGGCGCCCCCTCTGTCCCCAGACTGGGCCCCTCACACCGCGTCCCCCAACTCCTGCTTAGCAGACTTGGTCCTGAGAGCCTCTGTCGGTCTGCGGCCAGTGGCTGTTGTTTCTCCTGTCCCACTGTGCTTCTCTGCATGCTCCATCCGTCCCCCCATCCCTGGAAGCTGCTAGATCTCCGATCTGCTGTGTCCAGGCCGAGCTCTTGTGGATAGTGCTGCACTGACACAAGAAAGGAAATCCTTCCGAATTAACACTCTCTGCTCTTAGGGGCATGGCAAGAAGTGGAACTCCTGAGGTGTGTAGGTGAAACTGAGGCAAAATGCCTCATGGCCCACCGATCTACAGTGATTCAGTGCTGTTGGCAAAGAGAACGGAAGCAAAATCAAACACATGGGATCTCCTCAGATGAAAAAGTTTCTGCACTGTGAAAGAAATAATGATAAAATAAAGACACCCTGTGGAGTGGGAGGAAATGCTCATATACAAGATTTATAAAGTACTCACGACGCTTAGTGGCCAAGAAATTACCTCAACACAAATAGAGAGAGGACCTGAACAGACACTTCCTCAGAGAAGACTCACAAATGACCAATAGGCATATGAAAAATGCCCTTCATCGCCCATCGTCAGAAAAACACGAGCCTCAGTGAGCTGTCGCGTCACACCCCTGAGCCCAGCACACACCAAGACTGGGAGCAGCAGCTGCTGGCAGGATGTAGGAGTGAAGTAGCCTCACAAACTGTGGGGGACACGCCACTCACTGTAAGGGGATCGTCACTCTCTGCTGGGGACACAACACTTACTATAGGGGTTCGTCATTTACCGTGAAGGGATCGTCAACACACTGTGGAGGATCAGCCTTCACTGTGGGGGGTTGTCACTCACTGTGGGGGAATTGTCACTCACTGTGGGGAGATCATACTCACTGGAGGATCATCATTCACTGTGAAGTGATCGTCATTCACTGGGATGTTGTCACTCACTGTGGGGGATCATCACTCACTGTGGAGGTCGTCACTTACTGTGGGGGATCATCACTCACTATAGGGGACCATCACTCACTGTGGGGGATTGTCACTATGGGGGATTGTCACTCACTGTGAGGGGATCATCACTCACTGTGGTGGGCCATCACTGTGGGGGGTCATCACGCACTGTGGGGGCATTGTCACTGTGGGGGATTGTCACTCACTGTGAGGGGATCATCACTCACCCACTGGGGTGTCATCACTGTGGGGGAATCATCACTCACTGTGGGGGGGTCATCACTCACTGTGGGGGGTCGTTGGGGCGTCGTCACTCACTGGGGGATCATCACTGTGAGGGGATTGTCACTCACTGGGGGTTCGTCACTCACTGTGGGGGATTGTCACTGTGAGGGGATTGTCACTCACTGGGGTGTTGTCACTCATTGTGGGGGATCATCGCTCACTGTGAGGGGATCATCACTAGGGAGGAGTCATCACTCACTGTGGAGGATCGTCATTCATTGTGAGGAGATTGTCACTCACTGTGAGGGAATCGGCACTCACTGTGGGGATCCTCACTCACTGTGAGGGGATTGTCACTCACTGTGAGGGGATCGTCACTCACTGTGGGGGATCGCCACTCACTGTGGGGGAATGTTGCCTGGTCCAGCCCTGTGGAGAGCAGGATGGCAACTTCTCACAGCATTAAGCATTGGGCTCCCATGTTTGCTGTGTCCTTAAGGGCCTCTGAGATGGTATGTCCATGTCCCAGACAGACCCTCTGGCCAGATCTGCACTCTGCCGTTGGCTGCTGAGATTGGCACCTTCCATGTGCAGCTGCTTCTCCACACACTTGAGCAGAATACTTAGCACCATGCTCAGCTACTGTCAGCTAGCCACTCAGCACCGGGGAAGGGCAGATTCTGTTTGTGAAACTGGACATTTTTCAGAAGGCCACCAGATTGACTTTGACGGAAGGGGACATGAACATTGACCCCTGGCTCCCTTTCTTGAGAGGGGCTTGTTTGCGGACAGGGACCCTGTAGGGAAGTCCTAGTTTTTCCTGGGCATGGGCTGAGGAAGTAAAGTGGCACCCTGGGAAAGTCTGCTCAGCTCACATGTCAGCATGCACACACGTCATAGCATGTACACTGCATGGCACACACACATTATAGCACACGCACACAGCACAGATGCACACAGCATGGCACGCACACATCCGAGTAGGCACATATCACAGCATGCACGAATATCACACCATGCACAGCATGCACACTCACATCACACCATGCACACACACATCTCAGCACGCACACACAGCACGGCACGCACACACCATGGCATGCACACATCACAGTATGCACATGTCACAGCATGCACACAGCATGGCACAGACACAAACCTCAGAATGCATACACAGCACGGCATGCACACAGCATGGCATGCCCACATCACAGTAGGCACATGTCACAGCACATGCACATCACACCATGCACACACACGTCTCAGCTTGCATGCACACATCATAGTCTGCACATTGTGTCACAGCATGCACAGACATCACAGAGTACGCGTGCGCGCGCGCACACACACACACACACACACACACACTGGGCTTGAGTTTGTTCCACTTTCCCCATCACCCGGTCGTGCTTCCAGGGAGAGTCTGCAGAGGGAGAAGCGGTGACCCCGCCAAGGCAAGTCGCACGTGCGCAGCGCGTCGGCAGAGGGAGTCTCAGCAGAGCCAAGCCAGCACAGCAGAGCATATTTTTCTTTCAAAATATTTGATGTATGAAGTTTGCACAACATCTTGGCAGTGACAATCGTGCCATGCTTCCTGCTAACATAACGGCGTCTCAGTCATGAGCTGAAAGAATGTGCATGCTGGGCATGGGTCCGAGGCTGGCTCTGCCTCTGCGCCTGCAGGGGCCGCTGCATCGAGGATGGATCCCCTGAGCAAAGCACTGACACGTAGGGCCTCTTACACTGAACCCTGGGCCCTGCCGACTGCCCTGAGTCCCGACTGGGCATGGGTGCAGGTGCTGGCACCAGGCATGGGGCCCAGTGGGCCTCAGACATGCTGATGTGGGGGTGGGGGGGCAGGCAGCGGCCTCTGACCGACTCTTGCCTGTAAGCAGGAGGCAGTGGGTATGTGGCTGTGTGTAGACCGAGCTGTAGCCTGGACCTCATATGCCCACCGGGGCCAGGGTGGAGCAGCGGCCACATGGCAGACGCCTCCTCCGTGGCTAGCCCGGCTGTAGCAGACGGGGAAGCAGAAAAAAATGAAGGGGATCAGTCCTGGCTCCCCGGGCCTGTCGGTCACCTGTGTGGTCCCCAGTGATATGCCAGTGCCCCAGGGAATCGTGGCAGTGAATGAGGCGGGGCCCAGCTGAGCCTCCTCCCATGTGAGCGCCCGGGCGGGAGAGGGGACCGGTGCCCACCTGGCTGGCACGCCATACCTGTCTCCTGCCTAGCATAGTGCTTCCCATATAGTGTTCCTGCGTGGCAGTGAGCAGGAGACTCCCCTCTCTGATCAGTGACCCTCAGCTCCTGGACTATGATAGGCCCTGAGCTAGCCAGTCTTCACTCTCAGAAGAGGGCTGCTGGTGTCATCCCACGGGGTCTGAGCCATCCAGCAGCTGAGAGGCTAGGTCGACTCTGGCTCGACTGTCTCGCTCCTTCCACTTTGAGCCCCCGACAGTGGGGTCTGGACCAGCCTCAGGCCTACAGGGAAATCTCCCGGGACAGCGGGGCAGAGCTACTTGCTTCTGAGCCCAGAGAACTTGGTCAGGGGCAGTCACGGCTGTTCCCTTCGGGGCTCTGTATGTGCTCCTTGAATGCAGAGCTGCCATCCCCAGTCTCGTGGCAGCCTCATGGAAGTGTGCCCAGAGACTGTGTCCTGTCCGTGGGGACGCCTCCCTGGGTTTGCCCTGACAGGATACAGAGTGTTGGCTTCTGCTAGGGCTCCGTGGTGCGTGGCCCATGCTCACACGACCTCCTTCTCTTCCCAGGAGCAGCAGCCCTCTGCCGTGACCCCAAGCTCTGGCCCCAGCCCTGGTGGCAGCTTCCTGGGCTCCCAGCTGATGCAGCAACTGGTGGGCAAAAAGCAAACTGCACAGAGACCGCTGGCCGAGCAGAAGCTGCTCCTCCCCACACAGATGCTGGTGAACACGGTCAGCACCCTCCCTGCCCATCCCCAGGACCCCCACAGTCCCTCCTTCCATCCCACTTCCTGCCGGTGTTTCCCTGCTCTGCTGCCTCTCTAACCGCTTCTTGTGGAGAGCGTGAAGATTGGGGTGGGGGCGGTTGCAGGAAAGTCCAGGAGTCACCAGCTGCTGGACAGCTGGCTTGTCCCCTCCTGCCCACGCCCAGTGAAGGAATGTCCTGGACCGCCCATGTGGCACAAGGCGCCAGTGTCTCTCCACAGCATTGGGGGGCGGGCTCTAGCCAGTGCCCATCCAGGCTGACCCAATGGATGAAAGGGTTTTCAGAGTCAGCATGAAGTTCCAGAACCAAGACTGGCCTTTCGGAGTGCGGCCTCTCAGAACTGGGGTGTTTTTGGAGAGATCTGAGATTTTAGGGCTTGGGTCAAACCAGCGAGAGCTTCTCGGGCTGCTTTCCCCTTTGTGAACCTGTGCTTCAGAGCAGGCCATGCCTCGGCTCCCGACTCCTTCACGCGGGGCTCCCAGACCCATGTTTCATGTGAGTTACTTGGTTCCCCAAAAGCCCGAGAGCCTTTCAAGTTTGTGTTTTCACATAGAAGCAGGAATTTGAGTCTGTTTGCTGCTGTTTTAAGTCGCTCTCTCCCACATCTGCTCCACTTGAAAGGTCCAAACTGTGGCGAGAAGCTGAGGGCCCTGAGATGTATGGCGGCCCCCGTCCTGCCCCGCCCCCGGAAGCGACTCTCCTTGGGTCACCTTGTCCTCTGTTTTCCACGCTGATCATTTCGGCCCTAAATGGAGGCTGCTCTGGGCTCAAGGGAAGTGGCTCCATGAGCCTGAGACATGCAGGGCCCGGGGCAAGGACGGTGGGGCCAGTAGCTGGCCTGGCCAGGGCCTCTGTGATGCTGTGACTCACTCTAGGGGAGGATGCACACACATACGCACTCACACACTCATATACTCCCAAACAGGGCCAGCCCCTGTATCCCAGCCAGTCCTGTCCCCCAGCCCCTGTGTCCCCATCGTCCCTCTGCCGTGGACACCCCAGTCCCCTCTCAGCTACACCTGTAGGTCCAACATGAGCTTCACTCTGTCCCCCAGTGACCCCCAAAGCCTGCACCCAGGCCCTGATGCGCCCCTCCCCCCAGGTCTCTGTGCTGGGCAGATGTGGCTGCAGACCCCTGGCAGGAGAACGTCCCCTGCAGGAGCAGAAGCCTCAGGGTTTGACGCCTGGGTCCGTGCTTCCCTCAGGCACTGCCAGGGGCGACTCCCGAGCCCTGAGCCTGGACTAAGCCCCAGCGTTATTAGTGTGGCCCCAGGGCCATAAAACAAAGCAGAAATGTCCCATCTCCTCTCTGAGCTCCCAACCCCACGTGTTCTAAAGACCCTAAAGAGTCCCGCACCAAAGTCAGGGACCACAAGGTGTCTTGGGCGCAGAGACGTAAAGCCAGAGGCACTGGACACTCGGGGTGAGGCTCTCTCCAGTGGGGAGGTGCCCCTGCACCACAAACTCCCGTGACCCATCCAGTGCCGGGGGAGGGGGGTGGAGAGGGGTCAGGGGCCTGACTTGGCAAATGCAAACGCAGATCACCGCCCCCCCACCCCGCTTTCCCCAAGGCCCATTGGCGGGGAGTGAAGGGTTGGGGGAGTGGGCTACAGAATAAACACAGATCCCTCCCAGGAGGCCACAGACTTTGGTTCCCGCTGAGCCTAAGTACTCGGGAGAGGTGACGAGTGGGGTTGGGGTGCAGGCCTAGAGCCCGGCCTTGGGGGCCTTGGGGGTGGGGAGGGGCACAGCACCAGCTCTGGGCTCACCAGAACTGCCCCCGGCCATGCATTCTCCCCTCTGTCCCTGGCCCTCTGCCCCCTCTGCCTTCCCCCGTCCCCTCTCCCCCCAGAACCCCCAGCTGAGTGTTCTTGTGTTCTCAGGAGAAGCTCGTTGTGCAGGACCAGATGAGCAGACATCTGTCCAGACCGCCCCCTGACTATAAAGACCAAAGGAGAAACACAGGCAACATGTCGTCAGGAGCCCCCTACCCCGGTGAGTGTCCCCAGACACAGTATAGGGAGAAAGACCCCCCAGGTACCCTCCCAGAGCCCCCCAGAACCAGGTCGGGCCAGCTCCGGGCCAGGCAGACCCTCCTCTGTCCACTGACAGTGGCTCCGTTGGTCTGGATAGTCACCACTGTAGGCCACCTGCAGGCTCCAGGAAGGCCGTCCACACCATCTCACTAGGCCAGGTTGGTCCTTCAGACCCCTGGTGGCCACCTCCTCTCATACGCTGGGGACAGCGCCCCCTCCCGTGGGGGCAGGAGCCTATCGGCTGAGGCCGAAGCAGAGTGTTTGCTTCCCCTCTTCCCTCTGACCAGCAGCCTGCAGAAGCCCCTCCTGGACCCTTCGGGGCCACGTCTGCATGGACAGCATCTTTGCTGTGACCCGTCCCTCTGCGTCTGCCTCAGTGGCTCTTCCCTGGTGTGTCCTTCATGATGGACATCGCAAGTCCCCAGCTGGTTTCACGTGTCCCGGAGCAGGTGTTTGGCTATGGCAAGTGCCCTGCCACCCCTGGCCCGGGCTGTGTCCACGTCCGCAAGAGGACATAGTCAGGGACTCATGAGCTTCTTCTCTCCCCAGGGCCCTCTCCTGCCGTGAGCTCGAACTCCAGCCAGGCCTTGGCAAACCCCGTTTCCACGCAGGCCCTTGGGACCCCCAGCCCTGGCCTGCTGACTCCAGCCCTCGGCACCCGCCTGCAACCCAGCACCGCGGCTGTTCAGAACCAGAACCAGAACGTGGGTGCCTTTGCCAGCCCGCCCTGCAGCCAGCCGGGCCAGTATGGTGCCGAGGCAGGTATGGGCCGGTTGGTACCACAGAGAAACCTCCAGCAGCTGGGGGCGGGCCCTGGCGGAGCCCTGGCTCCCCGGCCCCCCACCTTGGCCCCAAGTGCCAGCAGCAGCAACAGCGCCCTGTTTGCGGCCGTGTCTCTGGGCACTTCGCCACAGCCGAGACTGAGTCTGCCCCATGGCATGGCCGGCCTGGCTCCCCAGCGGGCGACCCCCGACATGCTAAGACCCCCGGCGACAGCCCCGCCCAGCTGGGCCTCACCCGGAACCCCCACCAAGCCGCAGGACAACCCGAAGCCTGCAGGCGTCTGCTTCCCCACGGTCACACCTGCGGCTTACACCCCAAGTCGGTCCCTGCCACAGGTCGTGGGGGGCCAGCAGTTCCCCCCGACAGCAGCGGCACCCCCCAACACTTTGGCACCAGCGGTACAGGCAAGACCCCTGAGCCAGGTGAGCCAGACGCTGAATGGGCCAGGCCTGGAACCTCTCCGGAATCTGAACCTCGGGCCCAGCCCGCTGGGCACTGCGGCATTGCCGGGATTGAACCCGTCCGCTGCAGCCCTGGGCCAGGCGCCGCCACAGGCCCTGAGCTCTGGCAGCTTCCCAGCACCCAGCCAGAGTTCCCAGCCTTGCCAGCGCTCCGAGCACGGCAGCACCGAGCTGGCCTTCGACTTCCTCAGCCCGCAGGTGGATGGCGTGGGGCCGGCGCTGAACAGCGACGTCGACTTCATCGACTCCCTGCTGAAGACGGAGCCCGGCAACAGTGACTGGATGCGGGACATCAACCTGGACGAGATCCTGGGTGGCCCCTCTTGAGGGCGTGGGAGGGGCGGGGGCAGCTGTGCAGGGCTGGCCGAGCCCCCACACAGTGTTGCTGTGTGAAATGACCTCCGAGCCCCCGTTTCCCTGAAGCGAGGCAAACCTGTGGGTGTCTGAGCCCGTGGGCTATGGCGGGTCCTGCTGCCCTTCCGTGCTCTGAGCTCACTGCTGTCAGTAACACTTTGCCCTCAGCCGTTGCTTCTCCTGACGCCTCCAGGGCTGGCTGAGGGACCCTGGGGCTGAGTGGTGGAAACCCCAAGCCTGGGCTCCCCCCATTTCGGGCATTGGCACACTCCCACATGGGACTCATCTCCTCGGCTCGTCCTTACCCACTATGGTGCAGGCGTACCTGGATGCCTCAGCTCCACCCTTCGAAACCCCAGCAACACCGAGAGGTCTGCTAGAAAGGAGGCGTCTGGCCCCACTGGCCGCGGCTGTCCAGGAACTGTCAGCTGATACCCGCAGACCCCCAAGCCCAGTCCTTCCTGTCCAGCTGGATGGGAGATGGGTAGTTCAGACCTTGGGCACCAGGGCTGGCCGGGTTCTTGGTCGGGTCAGATCTTTGCAGGACAGCAGGGCCGCAAAGGGACAGTCTGTGTGTCCTGGTGCAGGTGTGGGAGGGCAAGCGGCTGACCGGGTGTGACCAGCAGATGCAGCTTCTTCACCCTCCATGCACTGGGGCTCCTGCCAGATGGACCATCCTCTCGGCTCTTCTGTTGAGACCGAGCACTGTGGGTGGGTTTTTGTTGTGTGAGCTCATGTGTGAGTTGGGGGAGGTTTGTGTTAGGGGACAGAGTGTGTTAGGTGGCAGAGTGAGTCCCTCTCACCATCCTGCAGACCGAGGGGACGTGGTGCCCACCTTCCAGCACGCCAAGGCCCACAGTGCCATATTCAGACAGAGGACAGCCAAGGTCATTAGGAATCTTTCCCAGACCACATACCAGGGTGTCTGCAGCCCCCTGCAGACCCCCCCTCCCACGCCCACAGCCAACATCACTGGCCTGGACTGTCTCCCTTGCTGGCCTGTAAATATAAATAAAGGACTTGTTTTGTAAACTTTTGTAAAGAATATTTTGGTAGAAATACTTAAACCATATTCTTTGGGTTATATTTATACTATATGTGAAATAAATATACTATCAAAAGGTTTTATTTTATACGAGAAGTAAATCAATACCTTTTGTATGCTGACAAAGTTTTGTATAAGATGATGGTTTATTTTTAGTTCTATATTGAACACCAGTAAGTGAGAACTTTGAAACTATCAAGAGGCTTGTGAGATTTATGTGCTGAGACCTTCTGTAAGAAACATTCCGGGTTTCCGTCGTTCTTGCCCTCTCTCCACTCCCGATTTATTTTTTACTCCCATAATCGGTGACCCATCTGATTCTCCTGCTGTGCACACCGCATTGATTGGTCCCTGAACATGTGCTCACCTATGTTCCTCTGCATCAACCATTTGGAAGACATACGTACACGCAGATGCTGCCTTCCTGGCCCTCCGAGGTCTGACATGTCTCCTGCCATCCCCGGACATTTGGTCCCTCGTGAGTGCCAGAGATAAGGCAGTCAGAAATGTCTGGGCCTTCTTCTGTCGTTTTGTGAAGTTTCATAATTAATGTTTATTTATTCAGCTATTCATTAAAATGCAGAATTCTGTGGGGAAATGGTGTTAAGTTTCTGTTTCTTGGCTGCCTCTGGCCAAAGATGATGTCATTTTCTAAAAGCTGAGATAATGATAATTGGTAGACACATTTAAGCCCAAACTTTAGGATTTACGACTTACAGGCGACTGGAGTCCACTCTGCCCTCTGTCCAAACAGCAGACCTCTTTATTGTCAGTTTATCACTCTGACATATTCTCCAGGAGATGAAAGGAATTTTTCTTCTTTTTTTTTTTTTTAAATCAAAAGCTAGAAAGCAGTTTGGGCAAATAAATCACTCTTGGCTCCGTGCTAAGCAGAATAAAAATAAATTGCTTCTCCACGTGAATGTGCTTCTGTTCCTCTCAGTGCTGTACCTGAGGTTCTCAGGGCTCACTGTGTGTCATGTGGAATCATTAAAAATAGCCTCGCAAGCTCAGCAGCGGTTCTCTTGCAGGAAATCCTGCTTCCGGCCTCCGGCCACTGTGTGGCTACATCCCGGGCCACAGTGGGGGAGGGCTGGCTGGTTCCTGGGGAGCTCAGGCTGAGTGCAGGCTCATGTCCCTTGCTGCAGTGAGTGTGCAGCTGCTCCCTCTCGGCCCTATGTGTGCTCTGGAGAAACCCCACCGGGCCTCAGCCCAAGGACACTTCCGGCCTGCTCAGGCCAAGTGAGCACAGCCTCTGGGCATGTGCTGTGGGCTGTTGGGGTGCAGAGGGCTCAGGCCCCCGCAGAGACCTTCCTGCCCACCCCCATCCTGTTGGCATTCATCAGCCTTCTCTTGGGCCCGACTGGGAACTCAACTAGGGAAGAAGCTGGGGGTACCTCAAGACAAAGCCAAAGCAGGATGAAGAGAAGAGCTGGCGCGAGAGGATGCTGACATGAAAGTAGACTGACCGGACAGCTGGTGGGCTGCTGCAGTGGCCTGGTCTGTTCGGGGAAGGTGCTGAGGGGATGCCATTCTCCCCGAGGCACGGGCTGGGGTCCCCCAGCAATCCCCCGCCCAGCAGTAAGGAGAGGCTCTCAGAGCAGAGGACCAGCAGGCCAGAGTTTCCTCTGGTCACCCAGCCCTTGCTCGGCCCTTTCTGCTTCTCCCTTCCAGGGAACTAGCCTGACATGTGGGTGCATCAGGGATGGGACAGTGGGTGAGCCCCGAGCCCCTCCCCAGGAGCACTGTGTAAGGAGATTGGCTCCTGGGAGACGGGGCCCCTCGCAGCCTGAGGCGGCCTGCACTCAGGAATTACTCCTGGCAGTGCTTGGGGAACAAGGCGAACGCCCTAGCCTAGGGCCTCTGTGCTATTGCTCCTGCCCCCCTGGCCGAGCTTTTGGATCACAGACCTCACATTCTCGTGCCTTCCTGGAGTTGTGTGTGCTGACATCTGGGCTCTGCAAGTCCCCTCAGGAAGAAGCCATGATGAGCACCTGGAGGTTACACACCCCTTCCTCCCCACCTGCACCCTGCCACCCTGCCCACACCTGGGCACTGACTCGGGGAGACTCAAGCGAAGCTCAGGGTCTCGGCAACAGAGTCGTGAGCTCAGGAGGCAGGATCCGGCGCCTACACGGGTCACAGAAGACCCAGGCAGGTCCTATGTCAACAAGCCTAGAATGTTCTGAAAAGACGGCGGCGAAACGGCGAAGAACAGCCAGAGAGTGGCTGTCTCAGGAGGTGGTTTCACAGCTGCCAGTGATGTGTGGAGCAGACAGGAGTTTCTTCTTAGGGTGGATGTGGGGGAGGAGGCCTGGCCTCAGGACAGATTTCCCCCAGCTGAGCTGACAGAGAGCTTTAGAGATTCATGATGTTGGCTCTGGTCTGGCTACCTGCACGGTAGTGTTTGTTTCAGTGGATTATGTGTATTTCACCCAACAGTGGGTAAACTTGATAGACCACGTAGAGCAAGTAAGGCCACATTTAGTCAGTCAGTCAGACTCAGGGATTACTCCTGGCTCTGTGCTCAGGCTTAACTATGGACAGGCTCAATCCATGGTGCCAGGAATTGAACCTGGGTTGGCTGCAAGGCAAGCACCTTACTTGCTGTACAAAGCAGCTATGTGCAGGGGGTAGGGGGTGTCACCCCTGGCAGTGCTCAGGGATCATCCTCAGTGCTCGGAGGACCATATGTGGTGCAGGGGACTGAATCTGGGTCGGCCATGTGCAAGGCAAGTGCACAACCCACTGTATTGTCTGTCCAGCCCAATAAAGCAGTATGTGTGTATAAACATATATAAATATATGTGTATACATACATATAAGTATATAAATATAACCCAAGTCTCATGTGTGCAAAGCATAAAAAATCTTTTTGTTTGATTTTGGGGGAGTCAGACTCAGGGATTACTCCTGGCTCTGTACTCAGGGTTAACTACTGATGGCTTCAGGGGGCCATACGTTCAATCCCTGGTGCCAGGAATTGAACCTGGGTTGACTGCATGCAAGACAAGCACCTTACTTGCTGTACTATTGCTCCAGCCCCAACAAATAATTTTTAATCAAAGTATGCATTTAAAGGCAGAAAGGGGAGTAAGAAAGGGAGTGTGATCAACTGCACAGTTGGAAGCTTTGCCCTCAGAGTTCCTTGATTCCATCTAAACAGATCCAGGCCTGCAGCCAGAGTGATAGTACAATGGGTAGGGTGTTTGCCTTTCATAAGGCCAACCTGGGTTTGATTCCCAGCGTCCCATATGGTCCCCCAAGCACCGCTAGAAGTAATTCCTGAGTGCAGAGCCAGGAGTAACCCCTAAGCATCACCAGATGTGATCCAAAAAGCAAATAATAATAATAATAATAATTTAAAAAAATAAACAGATCCACGCCTTGCCATAATCCGTGCAGGGGAGATCCTTGGGGTATCTCTGCCAGGGCAGGATTGCCTGAATGGGTCTGAAGTGACATCCTTGCTGTAAAGCTTCAGGGGGATGTTTCTTACATAACCCAGCACTCTGGAAAGCTCTTGTGTCTCCTGAAAAGCCTGCCTTCTGAGAGTGACAGAGCACCTGGGCATTGCACAGTTTTTGATGATGGCTGCTCAGGGCCAAATCTCAAATTCTTTAACCTTTGGCATATTTGTTAAATCTTTGTTCTCAATCCTTGAATGTTTTTAGTGTATTTCAACCTTGAATGACTCTTGTTAGAAACCATCTTGAGACCCATAAGGAAAAGGTAGAGCATTGGATAAATATTTATAAAAAGAAAAATGTAGCCAAAGAGGGTTGTAGATTTCTTTATTTTAGAGCAAAGATAGATTCAATCCAAGTTCCTACTTTCTTTTTACCTATTTTTTTAAATTTATTTATTGAATCACCGTGAGAAAGGTTACAAAGCTTACAGGTTTAAGTCTCAGTCATACAATAATCAAACACCCCTCCCCTCACCAGCAATTATTTTTCACCACCAAGAACCCAAAAATACCCCCCCTCCCACCCCTCCTGATGCTTGTGAGGCAGATGATTTCTACCTAACTCTCTCTCTACTTTTAATACATTCATTATTTCAACAAAAGATG